AGGTGAGCAGACTTAGTCAGCCTGTGTTGCCCTAACAAGAGGGAACAAGGACAATGCCTATGGGGCTACTATACATAACCATCAACCCACAAATACTCATTGTGCATTTGTTTGGAAGTGATCCCCATAGGTATCTCTGCCTTGACCCTGAGAAATGATGAGAGGGAAAGGGGGGATCTGGGAGGAATGAGGCACACCTCACACAGCGCTGCACATGTGGAAGAAGTTGCTGCAGGCCAGACTTGCCACCAGCCCTGCATTTGGCATCCCAATCACATAAAGAGTGGAGAAGCCATTCATAGATATGAGAATCTGCATCAGTGATTGGAAGGATGAGAAGATACCTTGTTCCCATTCCCTCAAGGCATGATGAACCTACAGTCACCTGATATCAGCAGGGTGCAAAGATATTGGATCACATGGCAATGAACAGCCCAGAAGTTGACTGCTATGAACTGATAGGTGTACATCAGGAAGAGATGTGGGAAATTGTAGGCATCACACCATGGGGAGGTGACGTCATGGTAATGGTAGGCAATGGTAGTGACACAGGTCTCACACTGGAATATGCCTGTGCCTGAGCTTGGCTTGAAATTAGTTAGTAAAGAACTGGGATAGAAAGCATGGTTGAAAGAATGTACAGAGGCATCGGGGTACACCAGGGTGAAATGGCCGCTCCCAGGCTCCAAGAGATATCAAACATGGCAGGATACTGATGCAGCTGAAGTCCAGCAAACAGAGTCATGAAAGTGATACTTCTCTAGTACAGCCTTGCATGCATGAGTGAGGAGGCCAGCTTGAAACTCCAAAAAGGCATTGCATAGCTACAAGGAGGGAGGTGAGATTGGTTGGAGAGGGCTGGAGGCAGTCAAACCTGACCTGCTGCTGTTGAATGCAGTGGTAGACTGCTGGAGGGAATACTACCCTCTGATAGATCACTGCTGATGGCCTGGATTATGGTGGCAATGATTTCCCATTCTTTGGAGGGTTTGGGCCATGTGCAGCTGAGAGCAGCATGGGCTCAGATGGATGCAAGATATAACTTCACAGCATTTGCAACTGCACCTGACAGTGTCCAATGAGAGTTTATGTCCAGCTTCACATGCCCGAGAATGAGCTGGACAAGAGTAGATGGCTTGAAATCGCAGAATCAGACTCTTTGTGGTTGCTGCTAGGTGAAGCATGTTCAGGTGCTTTGGTGGATGTCATCAATAGGGTGACAATGGACATGCAGTGGAACAGAACACACCATTATCATCCACAGGAACTCCCGCAGGATTGAGGCTAGGTTCATGTGAAGGTGGTTCAGAATGAGCATGACTCAGTGGGCCAGCAGCCATGATGAAGCAAAGGGGGGAGAGAGTGGAGTCCACTGGACCAGGAGAGGGTGCATGAGGAGAGCACATAGTGTCACGTGATGATAACAATATGACATGGGGATGTGGGCAATGGGATTGGCCATGCATGTGAGACCTGGACAACTTGTGCATATGAGATGAATTAATATGGAATAGGACAAGAATATTATTGTAGGTGAAGGCTAGACAAAAGAGCAAGGTGCCATCTTGAGCAGCATGAAAAGTTGTCCATGTCTTCAAATTGGCCAATGACTGCCTGCTGCAGGTGTTGGACTTGATCAATAGAGAAAGAGCAGTTGGGGGGCAGACACCGGACCTCATTAAGATGCTGGGGTATTGCATCACACAGTGCTGTAGCCAGCAAAGGAGTCTGGGAGGAATCCCTTTGATTGGGTACCCAAGTCATGCCCCTCATGCCATGTTCAATGGAGCCCCACAGAAACATATTGATGGGTTGGTCTCAAGACTGTCCTGATCTTCTGAAAGACATTGGGTGATAATTCCACATGTTTTGAAAGGACACTGCATCATCATTGATGGTGTCCAAGAAGAGAAAGTGTAGGAGCCAGATGTGGTGGTCATTGTCAGGATCAAGGTTGTTGGACTGTTCCATATCTTCAAATAGCTCAGCCCATTTCATGGTCACATCAGTATGATAGTCCACCCATAATCACTCTATATGAGTGTTGTGGACAGAGCTGAACCAAGTGTGTCAGAGGGCTCCCCCAGTGATATTGTGAATATGGCTAACCATCCCCAAATGTAGGAACCACAGGCGTGACTAAGGTTCTCCATCATCCACTCAGCCACTTGAAGATTCTCCATCCCACAATTGTCATGCACGCAAGACAGTGTCCCAAAGAGTTGCCATCCTGAGTGAAACACATCAAGTATGGTTGCAGCCCTGTTGTTGTCACTGACCTGGATAGCAGTGATGCATCAGGAGTGACCATCAACAAATGCATGCATAAACATCTTCCATTTAACAAGCCCTGTACTCATTACAACAGTTAGCATGGCGTGAGAGTGACACAAACTGAGGGGTATTGTATGATGATGCCCATCATGATGCCAGATGGCATTGGGTCCACCATTCTTGTACACACAATGACACTGAATTGCCCTGTGCTTGAAAAGCCACAGGATCAGATCATGGAGCCTGAGCTGCTGGGACAGTAGCTCTCAAGGGACTGGTTGGCCCATGGCTAGAAAATACCCCTGAAGCATAGTTGGCCTGTTTGTTCTGTGCCTAAGCCAAAACAGTTTGATGTTGTGGTGCAGGTCTTCTTGCAGAGCCTGAGGGTGCAAAACTGTTGGGGAGGAGGATGGGAGTGATGAATGGGCCACTATGATGCCATGACTGTTCTGTAGCAGATTGGACTGGGTGGGAGATGGGGATAAGATACTGTAGCAGATCAAAGCTCAATTCAGCATGTGAGAAGAGATGCTGAGCTGTCTAGCAACACAAGTTTGAGACCTGCCTGGGGCAATAGCTCAAAGGAATTTGGGGGAAATGTCCAGGTGAGGATGGCCAGCTTTGCCAGAGCAAGCCCACACAACAGGAATTGGGTATGACTGGGGGATGGAATCAAGGGGGACTGAAGTTGCAATGTCCAGTTTGGCGATCATCAAGTCAAAATTGTTGCAGAGAGCATTTTCTTCATTGTGGCTCAATATATGTCAGACCTATGTATGGAGAGGCTCAAGGAGAATGTGTTAGGGCAACACAGGCTGACTAAGTCTGCTCACCTAAGAGTGCCAAGAGTCTAA